GTACTAGACCTCATCAGTGGTGGTTCCCGTTCTACCACTCCTACATCATCCTTATTGACAAGGAAAAGTCCAACTATGGATCAAGGTATTCAGGTAGGACACGAACAACAGCAGCAGGGCAATAACATTGGCAAATTGAATGACAAGACAAATATCAGGACCGTCCAACCGCCTCGTCGAGACCATGATAGGTATTTCATTTAGGAAATTAATTTTCTTTTTATAAATGAAACTATAATAAGTGTATGCATATAATAGTTTTATCTTCTAGTATCCTGATATTAAAAATACAATTGTACTTCACAATTTTATTTGCTTGACTTGTTAGATTTTTTTGTTTATACAAACATAAAATGATTCTACATAGATTTATATTATTGTTGTTGAACTGATGATATAGCTTCATAAAATTTTAATAAATAATTCGTTTATTATGTTTAGCCACGGAGGTACCAAAAACAACGCGGGTATGTCTCATCAATATAATGATACGAAGAGAGACATGAAACAAGATGGCCAAAATCAAGGTCATATGCAGGGTGGTCGAGGCAACCGTGGTGGTTGGGTAAATCGCGGCAACATGAGAGGTCGAGGAGGCCGAGGAGGTCGAGGACGTGGTGGTTTCCGTACGAATCAAGCGAACAACTTGGATGGCATCAAGCCTAAGATGAAGTTTGATAACGATTACGATTTTGAACAAGCTAATACTCAGTTCGAAGAATTGAGGTGAGCATAAACGATCACTATGAACACTGATAATTCTGCATGGTTACGTGCCGGATTCATTTCAAGTAATTGTTGAAATGACCAATGTGGAGACCATGCAAAAGTAAAGTTAGTGCGAATTTAAAGCAATCGTAATTTCAACAAATACGAATCGCTTACGCATCGCATTAACATTGTTTTATAAAATTATGTTTCAATGATTTAATTTATATGTTAATATAACATTTATATCATATCGTAGGTCGCAATTAGCGAAAACGAAAATCGATGGTACTGACAATGAGAAGAAAGACGACAGTGGAAACGAGACAGGTGCTGGTGAAGGTGAACCCGAGGAGGAACCGGAAATTGTTCACTACGATAAGTCGAAATCATTCTTTGATAATATTAGCTGTGAAGCTGTTGAAAGGAGTAAAGGGTAAGCTTTATTGAGAGAATATTTAAATACCGTATATAAATTCACAGTACAGCTATGGTTTTTAATTTTTTTTTAATGAAAGAAAATTATTGAATTTTATGAAATGTTTTGTATACGGTAAATGTATAAATATATAAATGTATAAATTTTTTTCAGGCGATTCCAACGTACGGATTGGAGAACAGAACGAAAACTGAATTCAGAAACATTCGGTGTAGCTTCTACAAGACGCGGTACATTCCGCGGCCGTGGTTACTACGGTCGCGGAATGGGAGGCATGTTCAGAGGTAGTAGTGGCGGCAATAACGCTGGATTCCGCGGTGGCTATCGAGGTAGCAGGGGCGGTAATCGCAAACCCCCTAACCAACTACAGAATAACACGGGGAGTCAAAATCGCGCGACCAATGAACAGTCTGCTTCTCAATCACAGGCAAAAGTTATCTAAATGAAAAAAGAATCTAATTTGTCATCGGTATGGCATAAAAGAGTAAAATATGCTGAGGAGAGAATAAAGCGATGTGCTGCTATGTATAAGTATACACAACATAGATTAAGATTTTTACGATATGTGCTCTACGTTATGGACTGATTTGGATTAGAATTTGGCAGTCGAATAACACAGAAGATACATACGGCCGGATTAAATGTAGATTATATTATATAACGGAACGCGTTTGCAATCGCCAAATCGGTGATTACGTGTTAGGTGACAAGAATCGCACATATGGACGTTGCTGGCGCATATGACTCTTTGCATCGATATTTTGCGACTAGATGATCGGAGAAAGTACTTTTAGAGACAAATTTTCTTACCGCTTAATCGACAATGATCACGATGAATTGTTAAAAGAATAGAATGTTTTTGTTAGGGAAGTAAAGTCAATTATGATCTGATCGTTCCTTGGTCTTTTTTACATTGATACTTATTTGTGTAAATTCAGATGTCTAAATAATTAAGGAAGGAAATTACTTGTAAGAAGGCTAGTCATAAGTTTTACTTGAAATATGTCTGTTAACAAAATTCTTAATAGAATAATCTGAAACCGCTTTATAAACAATAGTATATTTGTTTATTAGTTAGGGAAAAAATTGTACAATTCAATCGTGATCATTCTTCAGTCGGTTTTCTCAAGATTTGACTATATGATTATGGAATGGCTTTATGATGATGGTGACTTGATAATACTAGTCGTTATGGAATAGCTGGTTTGTATCCGTATATCGGAAGTGAATGGCAATAGACGTGCATAAAAGTACTTTCTCGTCAAAGTATGTAAAAATCGATTGTATCTAATTGCATTTGTCGAGAATAGAAATATCGTGAGCTATATAGTACAAGATAAATCTGATAAAAATTATATTTTTTTTCTTTTGTTTTGGTTTTTTTGAGTGTACGCAGACAAAGTTTTTCGAGTCCTCGGCACGAAGTTTATATAAACGTATAATTTTATTAGGGTGGATGAACATAAGTGGGAAATAAGTAAAAGCCAGTTTATATGAAAATTTTTGTATTATTAAATTGTAATCTTATTATCCGCCTACTCTTTCTTTGCAAGATCTGCATCTAGAATTAGAAAGATGTAAGTGTCAATCTTATTGTAAGTAACTAAGTTCTAAATCATGTTACATAATTGTCATCGTGTTTTGCAAATAAGGATTCCTCGATTGCTCTCATATGTATAAGAGTAGCTTAATTAGTAAAACTAAAATAGATATCTGCATTATAATCAGTAATTAATTATATCAGATATGAAATTTGTATGATGCTTATTAAAAATAATTTTTTTCAAAAACATAATCTTAAATCAGTTTTTTTTTTTTTTTTTTTTTTTTTACTCTGAAAGTAGTTCTAGTATAACACTTATTCCAAGGAAAATTTATATTCAATATACATGTATACAAGAAAATATTTAAAATGATAATTTATTATTAAATGACATAATATTCTATTACAATATTATGTACAATAATGACTATACATGTATATTTAAATGAAAGTAATTAATTTATTTTTTTCATAAATTTACCCAATCATTCCAATCTTGGAAATGCGCTTTATTAATGTATAAATATAAATGGGATCCAAGTATGCACAGGTCATGCAAATTTGGAAACCTATAACAAAGATTTTCAAAGCGTTAAACGCATAAAAATAATTTATTCGTAATTTGATTATAATTAATTATTTACGCTTTCGAAGAATCCTTTTGAATGCACGAAGACGCTGTGAGTAGAATTGTGTTAAATGGCGATGCGAATAAGAATAAAAGCATGATAATATCCTTAAAAGTGTAAGACGTGGAAGATACAGAATAAGAACATTATTTGCGACTATTATTTTTCTATGGCTCGTACAGAGTCCCCAAACTCATACAAATATTATATATATATATGTACACACAGACACACACACACACACACACACACACACACACACACACGTATGTACGCAACTTGAGATTTACATAACTGATAAGCAAACCTCCAATAGGTTATCAGAGAAAATGCAGAGTGAAGTAAAAGGAAGGACTATAAAATGAAATAAATGAATAGAAAAAAAAGATATGGTAAATTTAACTTTTAAGTTTCATGCCCTGAGCATGTGAAAAATTTATAATGTACGCGAGAATGGATTTTTGTTTTGTACAGCGGATATATTGTGATTTCCGATGGTGAATAATATTGAAATGATGAAATAACACGTCGTCGTGTCATTTCCGATCTCCTATACACTTTTCCAATAATCGAACGAAAAGTTTTCTTATTTCTTCACAAAGTTGTAACGTCGAGAACTGTAAGGCGCGGGTCGTCCTTCCCTGCCCTTCGACGAAATGCGCAAAATGTGAAAGATGACGGTTTACAAATTTAAATGCTAGATTACGCGAATTTTAAAGAGCGACTCGAGATATAAGAGATGCGTGTTGTGAGTTTTTCAAAAAAGGAGATGTACTCAGATGTAAATAAAATTATATAACGTCTTTAATAGGACTCGAACAGATGTTGTTGGTAAAATTATCATACGTATGGCGATACTAAAGTGTGCTGCGTATTACATGCGATGTGATTAGAATGTATGTAAAAAGGAAAAAACGGCGTCTTCCATGCGCTATATCTAGTGTTTTAAATGCTTGATAAGCGACACAGTAAACTAGAATGATTTATTACACACAATATCGCAAACATAGATTAACGGATTCCGTTTGTTTGTAACTTGAATCTATTTTGTTTTTTTTTCTTTTTTTGCACATGGACTTCTCACGTCCGATATTTTTAAATAGCTCGAAAGTAATCAACGTTATTAATACATTAGAAATATAAATTCCCAGCATCAATATAATCGAAAGTCGCCATTTATAACGAATACGATTGTAATTTGCAGCATATAATGAGTTATAATCTTAAAAGTTCAATACGAAACTTGCATGAAAAATTTGAAGGTCTTATTTTCAGATTAGTTCATTTTTAAAAAATATTTATTATAAAATTTTTTTATCACAGGCACCTTCATACAATCAAGCGTTATTAATAATAAGAAATAAAAAAAAAGATTGAACATGTATGCATGTATTTAAGGAAATTATGATGGAAACGTGAACCAGCGAATATAGTTGGATGGCTGAGGAAAAAGGAAATATGCATGAAACTTTGTAATACAAAATTATCTACGGAGAATCTCGGGAATACTATTTCCCGCGAAGTATCGCTTCGGTTGCATCTCGTCTGTGTCTACACTTCCGGTTACACTGATCTACATGTGAAATATCTTCTAATACAAAGTCTCCGGATGACGTTCGCCACGTGGATCAAAGATTTTCAACCCTAAACAGAGTGAGAGATCACGGTCGTGCGTCGATTATCAGGCGCAGCTCATCAAACCTGTCCTCGTACTGTCGCAGACTTCTCTTATCGCGCGACCTCCGGCGACCTTAGTATCAACGTGTGGGAAGTTATTCTTATAATGACGACGCAGAGTACGCGGATTCGGTACATAAACCTCATAAGGCGCTTTGCCGCTCTCGATAACCCAAATACTGCCAGACTCACCGATCCTCAATATCGTCATCAGGCCCTGCGCAACTATGTAAGGCCTGCAAAAACAAGATTAAATAGCAATGAGCCGTTAAAAAATTATCTCTGCTGAATTGGCGCACATCATATGTACGCACCGGAAGAGATGTAATGTTCACGTCAGAATCTACGAACTAAATTTTATGGAACTGATATTTTAATTTTTTATGATCACGCTAGAGTCAAAATGATCCCAGAGCACACTTAATAATTTTTTTTGAACGAAAACTGTGAATAACAGCAATTGGTTAAATGCACTCTGGAATCATTTTGACCTGGTTAATCATTACGGAACTTTTAAGATGTGTAATCACGAAGACCTAAATCTTCATTAAAAGTTGTGTCTCATTAAAAAAAAAATTGATAAGTAATTTATTTGTAATTACAAGGGGTGCTCAGAAAGTAATATACTTTAAATTTTTCAAATTTTAAATTTGCAACATGTAAAATTTCACTTTTCTACTTTTATTACCGGATAAGGAAAAAATGTGGGGCATTACTTTCTGAATAACCATCGTATTTATTATTGAAATTTTTTGAAGGAACAAAAGATATTCGTATTTATAATTTAATTCTACAGCAGAAATATTATGTTTTATTATTATTCAACATGCACTACTTAATTTATCTGATTGTTTTGTGTCAAATGTTTATGATATTGAATCGATGTCGATTCGATGTCAATTCCATTATCATTTCTGACTGGTAAGAGACAATTTTAATAATGACTTACGTTTGTATCAGAAACTGTTCAAGATTCTTAACGAAATCTGCCTTCATGACTCTGGAAAGAAGTTTATTAGGGCTATCTACTGTTAAAGCAGTCTCTGTCAGTCCTGGACACAAAGTTATCACGGTAACACCGGTCTTTTCGTAGTGATAAGGATCCTGTTGCAGAGTAAACGTAATTATGAAAACTTCGTATAATAATATATACATATAATAAGTAATAATAAAAATTAAATACTTCATTATTTTACAATCCACAAGATAACAATCTTATAGAATATTGGAAGTTTATAAGTAACTATACTTTTTGTAAGTAACTATTTTAGGATGATTGCTTGAATAATAGATGGATTTAACTGAGTTCAATTCTGTATAATTACCGATAGAGACTGTGATAGACCGATGATAGCGTGCTTCGTGGCAGTGTAAACCGGAAGTTGAGCTGTGTTTCGAATATCCACATGCTGGCTCACGTTTACCAAGATACCACCGTGACCGCCCGTATCTCTGCTCATATATTGTACAGCTAACATTGCGGTGCTGACCATACCTCCCTAATATTGATATACCACATTAGAATCTACTTTTTTTCTTTATTTTTATTATTACAGGTATTACGTCTTATAGAAATCTAAGAGAGCATTTTATACTAGCATTTTATATTTTGGCCCTAACCGTATGTCGTAATCTGTAAAAATTGATTAATCACAGTTGATTAGTCAATCCAAGATATTCAACTGTAATACTAGATTGTGTAGAAGAATACTAGATTGTGATTAGTTAATTCTTATACAGATTATGGCTATAACCATTATAAATGCTCCCTAATGCTGATCAACTTAATATTGAAAGACAGCAATTATTTATTTTAAGATTAAAAGTACTCTCGATCAGACTTTCAGTACTCCAAATAAGTGATTAATTATTATATTTCAGTAATAAATTGATCAGTATTAGATTTCTATAAGAGTATTTATTAATAATATTTATTTTCCAATCTTTTTATATATTCTTATATGCAATTTGGTAAAATCATCTTATGACATAAAACTCACGAAATTATTTGAAATATACAATATTCGAGATAAGAAAAACATTGTAAAAGTTTTAAGAGAGAAAACATCGCAGAATAAAGAAATAATAAAATTAGGAAATCATTGGTAAAGTTATTAATAAATCAATAAATTGTTATCAATGATACTCACAATGTTGACCGAGATTTCCTTCTCCCATCTTCGTTCATCTAAAACGCCAGCGTTATTTATCACGATGTCAATGTTTCCTAATAGCGTTGATGCTTCTTCAAAAGCTTCTATAAATTGGTACAGACAAAAATAAGATATTCTAAAAAGTTCAACGATAGTAACATATATCTATTTGAAAATCTTGCTCCATATTTACCAGTCACATGTTTATGATTAGATACGTCAGTATGTATAAAGTGTACTTTCTTCTCGCCGCAAGATTTTTCAACACCGAGCTCAATTCGTTTGCCAGTTTCAGCATCGATATCCAATATAATTATTTTCTGTAACAAATATGAAATAAATTTAAATATAATAATGCCGATATGATATTAATATTTTATAAATATTGTAGAACAAATTTAAATATAAAATAGCGCTGAGATGATATTAATAATTTATAAATATTGTAGAACAGCTAATGCCATTCTATGAATTTAGTAGAATTAGGGACAGAAGTAGAATTAGGCAATTACATATATTTTATATCTAACAGGAGAGAGATAAATAATTTAATCTGCAGAATAATATTAATTCAATTAAAAGATGGTATTAGAAAAGAGTATGTTTTTTTTAATTGTTAGAAATGTCATTATATAAAAGACTTTTTATATAATTATACATTTATATTATAAAATTTGAATAATAGACTTATTTAAATAATAGACTTTTTCTAAATGTTTGTAATTTATAGGTCTATAGAAAAAAATATAAATTATTTATGTAATGCTGATTTATATAGATTTCCTGCAAATTTTTTGAATTTTTATACTGCAAATTATTATCTTAATTATTAAACGTACCTTTGCTCCGTGCTTCAAGAAATGATTAAGAAAGGCGTAGCCCAATCCTGCTGCACCGCCAGTTATTAGAACATTTTTTCCAGAAACAATGCAATTGATCGCTTCTATCTCTTTCGCTCTTTCGGAAGCTGAAGAACGACGACGAACCATTCTCAATCTTGGCTCTATAACATAGAACTTGTTTTATAAAAGAAGGAAAGTTCTTTATCAGAAAAATTTGTAACATTAAAATATATGTTATTAATATTAGAATTTTTTTGATAAAGTAAATTCTCATTATTTGAATAATGAGAATTATTTAGCTCCACGCTCTATAAAAAAGAATCTTACATGATAATTTATCTTAGGAAATAAAATTAAAGAATTATAAAAACATTTACACAATTATTAATATAATTATTAAAATTATGTTTTATAAAAATAAAATAATCGAAAACTTATTTTTTATATTACATATTTTTATGACAAAAAAAAATTGATAGACATATTTTTCGGGATGAAAGAAGTAGACTTACCTACTGTATTCTCCATGAATGAAACTGCTTTGGATATTTGGAGATGTGAAGAAATGAACTAATTTCCGGTTTAAGTTTTTGGGCGTAAAGCTGAAGAATCGAGAGCTTGTGCTGGTAATATGTATGTTTCGACTGAACTTCGAGACCATTCGAATGGTATTTATATACGATAAGCAGCGATGTGGGATTTCGCGATATTGCGACTTAAGTTTCCATCATGGCGGGGATGTCCTCCCAGAGGGTGGACTTCGGGCTGTAGATTACATAGACAGCAGATATATAGATCGGACAATCATGATAAAAAAAAATTTTTTGAATTTTCTCTTTAAAATTCGACATTGTCGAAGGTATTCAAAATCTAAAGATAAAGATCGCATTTTATTGAGCATATATTTATACTAGATTCAATGGATTAAAATACCATTAAATTTATTAGAGTGATATAATTCAACTTTTTTACCAAGTTTGTTTTTTTAGTTTGTAAAAGATAAATATATAATTATGTGTTAAATATATAATTATGTGTATAATTGCTGATACAAGAAAATTACAATTATTATTTATTGATAAATAATTACTGGGCTTGATCATTGTTATTGTGAAATTTCAAGTTTTTAATTTAAAGAAAACAGAATCAAAACTAAATTATAATATAAAAAGTAATATAAAAAACAATACTGCAGAAGATATTATTAAATAAATGATTTATTCAACAAAGATTGTTACTTTCGATAACAATAATTTTTAAGATTTTTTAAGGTCCTCTTATTTTTTCATTGTCTTTTCTTATCTTCCCTCTTACTAGACTGATCAGTCGCGTCTCGTCGTTTTTTTTTCTCAGAGTGTTCCTGATAGCGCCTTACTCTAATTAACCCCTTTCACTAAGAGGCTAATTAATCACATCGTGGCAATGTGTTTTCTAGATACTGGATATACAGGACACACAGACCGAGAGGCATTGAAGCGCTTTCTCTTTTACTTGAAGATAATAATAGTGTATTGTTTCGCAACGAATATTAGACTAAGCTACTAAACTGTCAGTAGATTAATAATTAAGTAATTGCATTTTTAACAATGTTATTGCTTTTTACGTAATATTTTATTATGTGATAATTTATTTTGTTAATATAATACACAGTAAAAATCATTTTATATTTGCATGAAAAAATCGGTTTTAACACAAATACAAGATATTAAAACTTTTATATTAAATTTTTAATGTAATAATATATCCGAATGTTCATTTAATATAATGTATGCATATTGTTGTATTATTTAAATATTTTGTATTAAATTGACATTTAACACAAAATTTTTAAAAGTGCTAAAATATTAAATAATTTATTTTATGAGTAATTGAACATGAAAATAATGTAGTTTAAAAGTTTAAAGTTTAAGATAAATAAATGGAATATAAATTTAACATATTATAAATGTTAATTTTACTAAAAAATAATTTTACTATTTGTTTCAAAATATTATATTTTCGTATTAATTTTTTACATAAATAATACCTGTGTCACTTTTTAACATATTTATCTTGTATTAAATTAATATAAAAATTTGAATAGATTTTGAATAGATATATTAAAAATTTAACAAGTTTTTCAATTGTGTGTAAATACACATCATGGAATATATAAGAAATGTTAAATGTTTTTTATATATTTTACATAATATGTACTTATTTTTTGAAAAATAAATATATTATATTGCTTATTTATAAAGACATGTTTATAAAGTCATGTAAAGTGAAGCTACGCAAGATATATTCAAAATGATCAAAGTGCGTTTGACAAGCGAATGCGCGTGCGAGCAAAATAAAAAGTTATTAAAACGTATAATTCAGATATGTATCTTTTTAAAGTTTCCTGCAAAAATATTTGTTTTGCATATTTGATTTTACTTCACCGAGCCATTTCGTTAATAGAAATTTATGATAGTCGCGGGGAACGGAACTGCGGCTGGTGGCTCGTAGATTATTTGCAGTACCGTACAAAGGGAAGAAATATTTTTGCCCTTTTTATGTTTCTGATGTGTCGTCCTGCAACTTCCAGACGATGTATTTATGTATTTACTCTCAAATTAATTTTTAATGCATTTATGTTTTTATTCTCTTCCAAAAATCCAATTTACACTGATTAATTTAACTGAAAATTATTTATTTTGAGTATTAAACAAAAATGCTTTTATTATTTAAAATAAATAATTAATTATTAATTTTCAGTATTAAATTTCTAGAAGAATTGCACTTTCGTTCGTTTTAATTGAACTCTTTTTGTGTTATAATTTCTTTTTTTTTTCGAGGTCTAAATATACACGTGTTGCATTCAGTTTAAATGCAGAAAACGTAGTAAAATGCAATAAAAAAGAAATAGACTTAAAACACGAACGATTGTACTTAAATGTGTTTGTATATCTTTGCAAATTGATACGAGTGGAAATGCATACTTGGCTAGAAATTCACAGAACACTAATGTACGGCCATTGATGTAAGTGGCATTTTGTGTACGTGTATGTATAATATTTACAAAATAAAATAATGTTTGACAGCAGATTAAACTTAAAGGCGTGGAACTATCGTTCCGGGTACGCGATGATCATTGGATGATATAACTTTTGTTAAAAGTCTGGTTGCTCGCGTAATTGTAGTTGTAACGAGCAATACGATTTGTTATCGAGTCATTATCATTGGCAGGCCTATCATAAGTCAACTCTAATCAAATGACCTTATACCGTGGCTTCATTATCTAGGAAATTTACATTTTTCCTTTCGAGAATTTACGATTAAAATTTATAAAAATCACTGAAGTCATTTACGATGAATTATCGTATATTAGTCGTTATCTAATCTTTATATTATTAAATTTTTATATTTCTATTAATTTTATATTTTATGAATAATATAGTAGAATGTAATTATAAATGAAAGAGAACATCTGACATATTTATATATATTATAAAATATTATATATGTAAATACAAGATTATTATAAATTTATTGTGAATTCCTTGACAAATCTATTAAATATAGATAAATCAATCTCAAAATGACAAAAGTAGACAACGCAAGAGAAGAAGAGACCAAAAAATGTCACTTTTTATTTTTTTCTTTAATTTTTGCGGTTATTTGCAATTATGCGGGACGCTTATCAATCACTCGTGGCGTCGGCGAACTTTAGAAATAATGTACTTGGTACAGTCGTGTGGCACAAAACGATGATAAGAGCCTGACGTGCGCACAGCTCGTGCTCACTGCACTTATCAATAGAAAAAGCGCACTTAACGTCTGATCGGCGTCGCGCCGACGATAAATTAGCCGAGGGACAGCGCATGTCCAAGTCGATACCATAACCGATATGAACTGGTTCCGATCGAACATTACTCGAAATCGAGAAGGAAAGTAATTTCTTTTGTGGTTTTTATTTAGATATCGTACTACGCTGCATGTCGCGAAAATTCGCGAGATTCGCGCCTGTGTGAGTATTTTGCATCCGTTGCAGCGATTCAGAGCGGTTCATAAATACGCATGTCTGTAAAAGATTACAGTCTTCGCGTATCAAACAGTTAATAATAATTGGTTCAAATGATCACTGATTTGTGGGATTTTGTACTGTATTTTTTACTATAACTAACGTCGTTGTTGAAATGTGATTTCCTGTATTTTTTATATGCCGCAGTGCAGCTTCAGTTTGCGTGATCTAAAGAAATATAATATGTATTAATTATTTCTTAAATATTATTTGATCGATATATAATGTTATAAATATATAATTAATAGAAATTGTTTTCGAGTTTTTAGAATTTATATATTAATAACTTGTTAAAATAGTGCAATATCGTCTTATCAATAAAAGTACTCTGATTAAACTCTGAGATTAGTTTATTAGCTTTTATTATTATTTTTAAATGTTTTTGTCAAACTGTCTATATCAAATTATAACGCTTTATAACGATTATTGCTTGCTTCTTCTACAAACGAATTTAAACGATTATGAAGCAATTTAAGAGAGGAATAGAGCATCATTTAGATGCACAAGAATATGTATTTCGATCATACAAGCCACGATAGTTAAGAGATTTCCATATTCATCAAGATTTTATATGTATGTTCAAGAAAGAAGAAAGTCTTCAATCGCAAAATCCGTATATTATCTACTTTTGTAGATAATTTAGTATAAAAGGTACTGTCAAGATTTCAAGTGAATAAAAATTGAATAAAAATTGTAAAGTTATGCTGTTAGCCAATTTGAAACAAGTGATTTCGAGAAAAAGACGTTTAAAGTTTTGTTTTACGATATTTTATATAAGTACTGCCGAGAGTGCCGATTGAATATACTAAGTGCCAAGTATACTAAAATTTATACTTCGTCGATAAATGATTTCTTTAAGAACTTTATGAATTCAAACGCTTCGTGTCGCTACGAATCATTCTGAAACACTCGATGGCTCTGTGACATGCTTCATCAAAGACTTCATTTTAAAAGTTATATTTTGTATTGAAACTAATTGTATCTTTTAGGATTATAAAGTATCATTAAGATAAAAATATAATATTTTTGATTTTTTTAATCCTTCTCAGGACTTAACTCTCTAAGACACTTTATTTGATAAAATAAATTATTATATATTTGATAAAATAAATTATAAAAAAAAAGTTAAATTTTAGATTAACAGATTTAATATTCTTAGTATCATTCATTTATAAAATTAACATAAACTATTTATTAAAAATATTATTATGTTTTATGCTCACGTTTATTTCTTTTAAAAAAGGCTTTAATATCTGTTTAACAATAAACACACTATTTATTAACAAAAATCTATTAAAAGCTTATTACAGATTTCACATTTATTACTATTTCTATTAATCAAAAACAGATTTTATTTAACAAAATATTTTTTGTAAAAAGAAGCAGTTTAACTTAATAATATTATTTGTTGTATAGTAAATTATAACAATATTTAATCTGCGATCAATTTCATATTAATGCTAGTTCTGTGCATCGACTTCAGTTTTTTGCGGCAAAGTATCGGGAAGCTGCACCTCAAAAACCGGTTTTCCATCCTCGCTAATCCACACACTGCCGTTCTGTGCGCATCGAATTACGTATATCAATCCATGAGCAATGCTCTCCACCCTGGCAACATATTTCTCTTTTGTATTTTATGTACATTTTTATTGAAGTCAATTATAAATTAGCATCAGTCTTACCTATGATGTCGATCATTCTGCAAACTATTAATGTTTGAAATATTCTGTGATATATCTTCTGGAATGTCGATTAAATCGGGACACAGAACAATTACTTTTACATTAGTCCTTTCGTAATGATAAGGTTGCTATAAAGAAAAAATATCTGATTAAACTTTTTATATGTTTCATGTAAAATGATTTTTAAGATATGTGTGAAATATACTTTTTATATGGTTTTTATTCATTATTGCAGTCAAATTTTAATTGTTTATTGCTACAACATGACTTAAAATTTAATGTTTTTCTTTCTCATATCCCTTTCAAATTATCCTTATAAGAATTCAGATACAGCAGAAAACAGCGATACACACTTTATCATATTTAATACATTTTATCATATCTAATAAGATAAAATTATCATCAAATTTCAAAGTTGAAAAACAAGTTTAAAATACAAATTTGTTGCCAAGAAAGAAAGAAAAGGAATTATTTAATCATTTCTAAAATTAGTCACAGTCTTTAAAAAAAGATCTCGCAGATTTCTTATAAAAAGAAACCTTGCTTTTTTCGAGATATTTTGTATTTTTTATGATTTTAAACAAATATCTCCATTGCCGCAAAAAAAATAAAACAATAAAAAAATTCTAAAGTCACTTTGTATTATTTATTATAATTGTCGTAAATTTTATTATACATTATATTTTTTTAAATGTAAATACTTACCGCAAAAGAACGGCTGAAACTAACTACGGCATGTTTTGTAGCAGAATATACTGGAAGCTGAGATACAGCTCGTAATCCGGCAATGGACGAAATATTTACGATAATACCACCCTTGCCACCAGAATCCTTTCGCATTTGTTGAATCCCCAGAAGAGTCCCTCGAATCACAGCTGTCTGTAAAAAAAGCGAAATTAATATTTTGGAACTTTATTCAATCTAAAATTCCCTTATACAATTTTATTTTCAATTGAGTTAGCTAAATTCACGTCGGCGCTTATATGTAATATTTTTAAATAAAATTTTTTATAATTAAATATGTAAAATGACTTGTTACTAGAAAATATTTAAAAGCTTTCGGTGATCATTGTGATCATATATTTCTTTACAAGATCAATATAATTGATCACAAAGTTGAAACAAGAAGGGAATAAACTTACAACATTAACATCGATAGCTTTGGAAAAGTCAATTTCATTTATTACGCCTGCATTGTTTATTAAAATGTCCAGTCCACCGAGAATGTTGATTGCCTCTTTCAACTTGGCTGCAACAATTAATAGTTTCAATTTTGAACAAATTCAACAAATATTCCCTTAAAAAGTTATAAATTAAATTAACTTTTGCAGTTTATGTAAGCAATGTTTGAGTTTTTGTTTATTATAATGTGTGCATTAATAAAATATAAATTAATAACAGAATGAAATAGACTTTTGTTTACTGTCAAATTCGGAATTATTTGTTACGTCACAGCAAAGAAATACAGTTCGTTTGCGGCCAAACTCATTGTTTAAACTCTCTACAGCTTGTTCTCCAATCCATTGCTTTATATCGATCATAACTATCATCTGAAATATAAGTAATTATTCTATTAATTTTTACAATAAAATATCGATAAGTTTAACGAATATTTTTGAAAGAAGACTCTATAATATTTTATTACATAATGATTATAACTAATATTTATACGTATATGAATATCACACAATATTATTATATTAAATTACATACCAAAGCGCCATTTCGCAGCAGCTCCCTACTAAATGCCAGACCCACATCACTTGCTGCTCCAGTTACTATAACTCGTTTATCTTTGATCTGCATTACTCCACTAATTTTCCAGCAAACAATCTCTTTCGTGTATATTTTTTTGCTTATAAAAGTTCTAAAACACGTCAATATATATGAATTCCCGTTCGTGAATTTTATATTTTTATAATAAAACAATTAACTGCACGAAATCAAGATGTTTCTTTATCGATGAGACTACAACTGCGACACGAGGCTTTAACTAGTCCAAGAACCTCCTTGAACCGATATGGAAGAAGTCACTGTTTTCGTTCGGTGATCTCCGACCTCGCGATCTGCATGACGTTCAATTCGTCAGAGTCTCTCTTCATACGAGATTCGTTATCCATGAGACGGCACTGTGAATATCTTCATCTCCTCATTGTGTAGTAAGTGTAGTTTTAAGTTCAGTGGCATTCGAGAAAATTCGAACCATTCATTAGTGAAGTGAAATCACAAATTGAACTTTGTACAAATTCTTATAAAAAATAAGAAACGCACACTTAAAGGTCAAAACTTTAGTAAGCAAAACGTTTTAAACTAGATGCTATGCATTCTATATTAATTTTTTTAATATATATATGATGTATTCGCAAAAATAAGTAGATGTTTATATAATAATTAAATTAATTCATAATGAAATAAATAAAGTGGTATATGTATGGCTTTCCAGAAAATGATTGCACATAAAGACAAAGTCCACATTACAGTGAAGTTTTTAATCAACGACTGTGTAATCTAGAAAGGCCATCGCAACGCATGAATTTATATTAACAACTAACAAGAGAACCTTGCCAACTCAGAAATTCTGATTTTAATGTGACTCTGCATTCATAGCAGTAAATAAATGAATCTGAAAATTTACATCAGTTGGATTTAAAAAATGTTTTGGCTGTACAATAAAAATATCAGCCAAAAATCGACTGAAATTAATAATATAAACTAATTAGTATAAAAGTTTTTATCATAAATACTTCCTGAAACCAACTACAAAAAATAAAACAGCAAATAAATTTAGCTTATAAATTATAATAGCTTTATAAAATGAAGTGATCTATTTTATTACAGTTTTATTACAGTTAGATAAATAACTTTTAAATAAGTAGATTCAAATAAACTTTTGTGCACAAATATTTATTAGTATGTATAAAAAAATAAGTAATTTTATTAATATATATAAAAAATTAAATGATTTTTAAATCAATAAGAAAATTATACTTAAATTTTACACAAATAACATGTAATAATAAAGCATGTAAAAGAGAGAGACATTTTTATATTTTGATAATACTTTTTATAATGTGACACATATATACCTATACTAACTCAAACAACTCTTATAGATACAGCAGATTTATTTTGATTCATTAAAACTAGTTTTAAACAGATAAAAACAGTTTAAAATAACATCAACTAAATTTATTTATTTATTATTTTATTTACTTTTTCTACATATATGCAAAGCTATATTAAAATGAGAATTTTTGACACTATTGTTTTATCGGACCTTTACCGAAATATTGTTTTAATTTTTTAATTAAAAATATTTATTTTTTGTGTTTAATAAAATATGTATAAATTTTAACGATAAACATATTGTAAAACACACATATACATTATTTATTAAATATAAAAAATAGTCTAGTTTGATTAATGTGATAATTTTTTTACGCAACATAATTCATTTAAACAGTATGAAATCAAGTAACTTATCAATAATATTCTACTGATTAGTAAGTTATGTTAAGATCATGCAATAGGTATGTACGAGATTTAAATATTGAAGCGATTATTTGTTACTGATATATCGATAACATTATCTTAAGCATGTTAATGTTTTATGTATTGCATGTAAAATCTAAAATAAAAGAAAAACTAAGTACAAGTTTTTAATATTCAATAAGCAACTATTTAATATATCGGCATATCTCAATAAATATGAATACACAAATATATAATGATTTATGTATTCTGAATGTGAAATTTAAAATAAAAGCAATAACTGTTAATATATTTAAGACGATGCCTTTTTTATGTTTTTTATGTAGGTATGTATATCCAAATCACAGTTTGCGTAACTTAAATGACAAACATAAAACTCATTAAATCAACTTTTATCTCGCAGAAATGTCATATTCCTTGTGAAGTATATAAATTATTATATCATCAAATGTATTTATAAATTTACGTGACAATTTTCTAACAATTTTTCTAACTCATAGGTATAACAGTTTTTAATAGACAGTTTAATAGACAATTATAATAGATGAAATTGTCTTAAATAAATTTAACTGTCTAAATTTTTAATCAGAATAAACATACAACATTTTGTATTCTCTTATAGAGAAGTCCAAATTAAATGAATTACAATTACAGCATAATAATTACAAAATTAATATGTATAATAAAATATTAAAGCGAAAAGATAAAGATATATTTTTCTCTTGTCAAGATCAAACAAATTTCACTCTGTACGATCTCTGCAATTTTTCAAGAAAAAGACTTTTGAACTTTCACTTTCGGGGCGCGGTCGCTTTTTCGGTGACGGTTCTAAAAATAAAAGGGACCACGGGAATACCGACGAATAGTCTGTCGAGGGATTGCAAGAGCACGCATTTACGCACGTGTATGAAGGGCACGCACCGGCCGGCGTCGCGCACACCCGCATGGCACGCAGACGCGCCAATCAATATCGGACTATACCGGGTGTACACCCCGACCGTCTCTACCGTCAGTGAGCCAGTATACTATCAGCCACCAACCACACCTTTCCAGAACTGCTTTGCCGCCCTTCAATCTTACCCTTTTGACGGAGGAAAAACGTGACGTCTGAACCACTGCATCCGAGTATCGCAAGCTAACCAACTAGCCAACTTCGTTTCATCCCGCTTATATTACAAAACGTCACACACAGCACGGGTGAAGAAATTGAAAAGGTATAATACGGAGAACGGAACGAGCCAATGAACTTTATCTCGATGGAGGTAGAGAATCAGATGACGCATAATAGGACTTGTGCTGTGAGCATTTGTTTAGTGATATATCGGAATTTTGACGTGAAATTAAATTCAAAAAATTCCATAATATCGGAATGAAAAGTGTGAATAACATTTGCGATTGTTGGTATATCAGTATCTTAATTGTTTTCTCGCTGGTGCCGACATGCTGGTTGAAGTGACAGGTGGACGAATGATGTACTTGAAGCGTGAATGCCTTCTGCCCTTGGAATATGTAGGAATGAATCATTCATAAAACAGAGAATTGAGATTTATAAGAAATAACAGACACATAATTGAAGATACATAAATGTGAAGGAATTCAAAATTGAAATATTTATTAAAAAAACATTATCATAACTTTTTTGTCCTCTTGAAATAATAAGATATAAGATATAAGAGAAATAAGACAAATTTTTTGTCACTTTACATAATACGACCAATTATGTAAAGTGATAAAATAATTAATAATGCATAATATAGAAGCAACATTAATTATAGAAGCGACATTGTTTGAAGAATGAGGGAAATAGGTTTATATAATAGAACAAAGAAAGAATAAAAAATACACGAAGCTTGTTGGTATCAAAGTTTTAACAAATTTAAAAATTTAAAAGGATTTTTAGTATGCTAATTTTAACGAAATAGTAATTAAATTTACTTTAACGAATTTATAACGCAGGGCATATTTATAAACATATTTATAACATAAAAATTTTTTAGCAGATATAAGTTTATTGATTTTTTAAGTTGATTTTTTGGTTGCTCCTTTTAACTGATGTTGTACAGTTAAAAGAATTTTTGTATATATTCAACATGCTAATATCTTCCTCTAAATTTGTCAATTAAAATTTGAACGTGCTAAACAAGTATAATCCTTTTCACAATATTATAATTTTTTTGTTAATTAAAAACATTAATCCAAGAATACTAATATGTTATTGTCCAATTATATTACCTTCAGATACGAGAGAAGATAAAAACTTAAAGAAAATGGAAGCAAAAGGGCGAGTTGCCCTAATAACAGGAGCTGCATCCGGAATCGGTAAAGCGTATGCCACCGAACTATTGAATCAGGGTGCCAAGGTACATTATAAAATTATAATTTAAGAGAAAACATATATATTTAATAATCCTTTATAGTCTCACACTTTTTGTATCGTAGAACTATTCTCGAAAAAGAAAATTTATAATGTCACTATTTAATTTTTCAAACGAGGTCAAAGTCATATTTTGTTTTCACGATTTGGAATTTCAAGCAAAACTAGCATTCCAAAGATCTTTCAATGTATTTTGTTTCAAAACATCTTTATATTTAGATTTTTCAGAAAAAAATTGCTTGCGTCTTTGAGAAAAAAATTTATCATAATGATATAACGATATAACGAATTGATGATAAATATATAGTTAAATCGATGATAAATATATGATACACATTACATTATTTATTTCAAAATATTTATTTGAATAGTTGCATTATTTCGTTATATTATACAATATTATATTTTATGTCATCAATCAATTTTTTTATTGATAAATATATTATTTTTGTTTTTAGAATTATTTAATTTTCTAATAGCGTAAACGAAAAATTTCTACCTACAAATTTTAATTTGAAACAATTTAATAATGTATGCAAGAGTTTTATTATCTTTCAAACAATTCATATAATATATAATTTATGTAAAATTTATGTAAAATAAAATACTAAGATTATAAAAAAGGTTTGAATCATCCTTCGGTTTTTATGTATAAAAATAATTTTTTATACATAAATTTATTCTAAAATAATGACAATTATTCCTAAAAATAAAGATTATCATGTTTTATAACCGTGCTGTCGAATTTAATCTTGAGGCTATTAGTTTAGATGGCATCGAGGTCCTCAATTGTCGTATCCAGCACACAATGGGAATGTTTTTTTCAGATTTATTTTGAGAAATAATTCTGACATATTATATATAATTTCTAAATAAATTTGTATATAGAAATCGAAAAATATAATTAAGAATTTTATTGATAATTTAGTAATTTTTTATTATATACAGGTGGCTATATGTGATATAAATACTGAAGAAGGAGAGAAACTGGTAGAAACATTATCCGAAAAATATGGTAAAGGTCGTGTAATCTTTTCGCAATGCGATGTCACGGATTATCTGCAATTCGAAGGTACGATAATTCGCGATAGTCGTTCACGATTTCTAATCTATCGTCGATTTGTTTCTAAATCATCGTATAAGTGGCTAATGCATATATATATATATATAAAATATATATGTATATATATATATATGTGTATATCATTTTCATTGTAATGCAACTCAATATTATTTAGCATACAATGCAATTCAATTTGCAGAATCGTTTCAAACAACTATCACGGAATTCGGTCATATTGATATCGTTATCAACAATGCTGGTATCATGAATGATCGATTTTGGGAGCTCGAAGTAGACATTAATCTTGTAAGCAAATATCCAATAGATTGCGATCGTTTCTCAGATTTCTCTTGCATGTTCCATTCCAATAACATGTTTGTAAAAATTAATCTTTAAAAGATTTATGACTTCTTATAAAAATTCGTCATTTCTTCGCTTTTAATGTCTCGTTTATTTTTTATTATAATCCTATTGTATTTTATGTATTTTTATGTTTGTGCTTCTTTATTAAATTTAAAGTGTTCCGTATAAAGTAATATTTTTTATATGCATATTAAAAAATATTGAGATCTTTTTACAAATATACTTATAGAATGGAGTAATACGCGGTACTTTGCTTGCTCAACGATTTATGGGCACTGATAGGGGTGGCCAAGGTGGTGTCGTCATCAATACTGGCAGCAACGTTAGCATTAACCCTTACGTCAGCGTACCAATTTATTCTGCAACAAAAGCGGCTCTTGTCAGCTTCACCAGAGCTTTTGGGGTAAGAAGTATCTTTTAAATATCTCGATCTCATCTATTGATTACAATTATTATCTCAAAATAATAAGAATCAACGGTTTTTCAATGGTTTTCATTATTTGAAAGAAGAAACTAAAAAATTCGCGTTCAAAGATTTAGAAAATATAAATTAATAACTTATTAACTGATATTTAAACGGTTCTTTTATTAAATTAATTACAGAAAGAATGTACTAATTTTCTTTTCAATTTTTAGGATCAATATCATGTAGATTTAACTGGCGTTAAGGTAATGGCACTTTGTCCGGGTACTACAGATACTAAATTGGTACGTGATGTCAATAGAAAACTTCTTTTGGCTCGATATGAGGATGCCTGGCAAAAAGACATAGTTTCATCAATTCCTCAAAGGTATATATATTTCAACATAACAATTTCTCTCTCGACTTAATTGTGAATAAATAACTCATGATTAAAAAATCAAGTACATGAATAATAATGAGCAATTGTTATTTTTTAATCCCTTGGTATCATTTTAAAACACTATTTTCAATTAACAATTTAAGAAAAAAGTAATTATAGCATAAAGAACGTAATTATTTTATATGTAACGATGTTACATAATATCTATCTTCTCCAAATATAGAAATGTAAAATAAAATTAGCATCATAGAAACAATTTGTAAAAGACAACTGACGTTACAGGGCGGAACACGTGGCGAAGGCGTTGATACACGTGCTTAGCACCGGCAAGAGCGGAAGCGTGTGGATGGTGGAGAAGGACCAACCGCCGCATGAGATCAGTTTTTCAAAACACTAAGAGAGTCCCGAGCGCGTGCAACGATTCTTCCTCGCTTCGCTGCAAATATCTATGCCATACCACACAATTAGCTGTAATTTGTATCGAGATATATAGGATCCCATCGCGCCGTCAAAAAGGCGGAAACGCGAGCGAAACGTAATTATTTGTACTTTCGTACTAAAACTTTTAAAAGACCGATGCGTTTTTTATTTTTCTTTTTAATAACAACAAATGCATTATTCGAGATTCATCCATCATCTCAGATTTTTAATAGAAAGCGATCCTTTTGATACGTTTTATACTTATTGTTAGAGCAGAAACCCGCGACAGAGAACGCGGCGAGTCTTCGGATTTGATAATTACGCGATAATCGCGATATTTAAAAAGAAAAGAATAAAAAGATCCGCACGATCTTTACAAAAAATTACAAAAATCTTTACAAAAATTATGTAAAAACAATGGCTTTCGCTTCCGTCCTGCATCCGCGTTGCAACTTTCCGTCGATTTTTGCACATGCAAACCTCAACAACGCTCATGTCAGCCGAGGATTCTCGAGTCTGAGAAATTTGTAGGAATTTCTCAAGGAATTTCTAAGCGTTGCTAACACCTATGTATCGCATCAAAATGGAAATTATTACAATGATATTTCAATCCTGCCGCACTCTGTAACCGTCGCGTGACTTACTCATTTCTCTAATGCACATGTAATATCGACAATTCCTTTAACGCCATTCCGTTTAATGATATATGCTGCATGTAATGTAATCGCGTTTCAGGTCGAATATAATAGACACACTTTATATTTATTGCTTGTGTGAGGAAGATGTGTGAGGGAGAGCGTATTATGAGAGATAAAATAAAACTATAAAGAAATAAGCATTTATTTTCGCGGTCTCGAAGCGTACAAAAAAAAGAAGAAAGAAAGATTACACACTTTTATGATGACTAATGCAAATAACTCTAAATTCACGAAATGTCGGAAATCTCTTAATTACATCTAAGAAAGAATAAAATTATATATATACATATATAT